AAATTTTAAATAAAATCAAACAAACAAACAACAAACAAAAACAGTAGCAGCAGAGGTTACCTGTCTGAGCACCTACATTTTCTTAGGAGGGGATCGTGTCTCACCAGCCAAATAGCCCATAAACCTTCTCAAAAAAAGCGAGCCAGGAGAAAAATAGAACACAAGATTTGATTTCACAATGTCTCTAAACCCCCCAAACCCCAAACTGGGGGGTCACTGAATGAAGAGAATTTGTTCCAATGTTTTCATCCTTGAGAAAAAGGAGAGACGATTCTGAGAGTCAATGGCTTTTTTCAATGCTTTCAGTAGTTTTTTTCTCAAAGTCTGTTAAAAGCGCTTGACGAAAGCAAGTCTCTGGTGGGATTTTTTTAAACGTTCCAGGGTAGTTTCTTATTGATACATACAAACAAAGGTTTCAAAGTTCATTGGAGAAAAGCCAGTAGAAATGACCAATTATAGGCACCAAAAAAGAAAAAACTTATTAAAAAGTTTAAGTGGCATAGTTCAAATGTAAAGAAATATATTAAAAGTCCAATTTTCATCATAGTGACATAAAAACAATACCAGAAAGAATTATTAAAATACAATTAAAAATTACAATTTTAACAATATACAAAATTTTACAGTAATTCAGATTTTTTGGCATAATGATTACAGATTTGATAAATACATTTTATATCTCATAATAGCGATGAAGATTATACAAAAGCTATTGAAACAATTACGAGAATAAATTCAACTGTTACTCAAATATCTAAAGCTATTTTCCTTTGCGTTCTTCCAGAATGATTTGTTCTTATTCTTTATCTTAATTTGAGGGACTTCAAGAAGATACTTGTTTTTTTAAAGTCTATGATAACTATTTCTGCCATTCATTCTAATATGTGAGTGTAAAACACAGAAGTTGGTTGGTAAAGAGCTACATATCAATATTGTGTGAATGAAATTATCAGTGAAATAATTTCAGATATTTCTTATAATACACTTGCTTAATTTTGTAAAAGTTATAAAATGGTCAACTATATTTTTCCTGTTCTTTTATCCCAACAACACAAAGTGAGTTTTTCAACTACTCTACTTTTTTTAAATGCATAAACTTATATATGTGACATGTAACTGTTTAAAGCACGTGTATCATAATATGTGACAACCAGATGATCTCTACATGAACTTATAGTTCTTCATTCATTTCTTTATGGCAAATAGTATGCACCCACCAACATATGATCATTCAGCTAAAGTACCAAGTATTTCTTTATGTTAATGAGTCAGAGGTACTTATGAATACCCCCAATAAACCTGTGCAAATCCAATTTTTTTGTAGATGCAATTAGAATATCCTAGAGATAAGCTGGAAGCTCCTTTTACGTTCCCCTTTTTCAGAGGTGAAATGAGACAATTCACAGATTAGAGGTACTATTCTATTTGTCAACAATCAACCTTTCACTCAATTTTAATATTATTTAATACTATGGAAAAAACAAGTTTTATTACATTCCTTTTTAAAATGGGGGAAAACTGTACAATTAAGCATGATCAAACCTCTGTTAGAGCTGGTTAATACTGATATTTTATTATTGCCTCGAAGTCTCTAAGTAGTGTCCAAGAAATTATGTTAAGGTCCATCTGAAGGAAAACAGCACTGGAGAGGCAAGAAAGCGCTTGGGTAAAGCTTCAGAGGATTTGTAGGGAGATGGAACATTTTGCTTAAAAAATTATGCTGAGCTCTGTAGCCTCTCCACTTCTTAAGATACCTTCCAAACCCATCACTGGGATTGTTTTAGAGGATCATATTATATGCCGTTTGGGGCTTTAATAAATTCATAAAGTAAAGGAATATAGAGTTGTCAGTATTGAAGGCTTAAGAGTAGGGCTATGAGACTCAATAAGGTAAATAAATCCCCAAACAAAAACACCCAATCCACCCTCCCCTCCAAATGTTAAGTGTAAAAGGAGAAAATGCATAGCCATAGCATTGAAGAAAAGCATGTAACTGTGACTAACCATACACCAGACAATCTTGAAACGAAGAAAAAAAAACAACATACATACACACAAAAAGGCCTAAGGAACACCAACTTTCTAATGTCTTTAGGTGAGCATCTCTACACTAGTGGAGTCTAAGGCATGAAAACAATTCATCTGCTTTGTAAAGTAAAAAACTGTGTTTCCTATCATGCTCCATTCTTTAGAATCTATTCTTTTTGTTTGGTGTAATCAAAGAATAAAACACATATACATGCATACGTGCACACACATACATATAAGACTTCCCTTCTAAAATGTGAAAAATGCAAATACATAACACTGGCTTAAGACATCTCTTTAGCTTTATACTGAAGAACTTAAGGACCTTGATCTGCCTCTCAAATATACTTCCCTGTCTTAATGTCCAACTCATCAAAAGAAAGAAGGAAAAAAAAAAGACTTTTAAATGTGTATGTTTCGAGTCAGTGTCTTATTAACAAAAAGTAGCATTTTCTTCACTTTGGCCATTGTTAAAGATGCAGTCATAGAGCAGGGAATGTTAGGCTAGCATGTATTAAAAAAAAAAATGCAACATTAACAGAGCATATATCTTCCAAAAAAGACTAAAACACTAACAAACACAAGTCAATGCACAAATTTTAAACTAGTGTAACTTTATCTACATTGAGTAAAATGTTACTTTTGGACCAGACATTGCAATACTGTTCATTTCCTTTTCATCATGCAAGCATGCCAATTTTGTAGTAAAAATCTTTATTGGGTTATAGTCATGTTGTCCTCCCACCCAAATTAAGGGGAAAAAATAAGGACAAATATGAAAATGAGAAATCCCAGTAAGAGCCTCTAAGAGTTCATGAACAACTGAGCTAAACTTGCTAACAGAAATGGCAGAATTTTCAGACATATATTTTAAGAAAAAATTCCTGTAGTTTAAACAGATGTTTTCTTCTTCACAAATCTCCCAATACCATGTGAAATCACACTACCAGACACTTGAATCAAAACAATTCTGTATAAAAACAAAAGCAAGGGGCCATGAAAAGCAAAACTTTCATGTTCCCCATGGCCTGAAAAGCATACAATTGAAAGGTTAACTGTGAGATCCTGCCATTTTTCTGTATATCAACTATTCTGCCTCTCTGTAGAATCTGTAAGAGTCAGTAACATATTATCAGCAGAAGTCTCATCTATTTTCCCTTCTTCTAACCAATCTTACTAATTTTCTCTCATCCTGAGCATTTTCCATGAACAGCATTGCAAGTTGGTTAAAGGGGGAAAGGAGGGGAGGAAAGGGGAGAGCAAGTTTTACAAGGGTTTTCTTGGTTAATTATTACTGGTGGAGTCACTCCACCAGGAGTTTGATTTCATTGGCTAACAGCTGGTTCATGTTGAACAGCCCCCCTGGGAGCTTGGTGAGCAGCTCTCGCTCCGTGCTTTCAGGGTCGCTGTCGACAGAGCTGGAACTTGCGCTCATGTTGTCGACAGCAGTACTGGCAGGGGGACCCAGCTCCGGCTCACTAGTCTCACTGGCTGTGGACACCACAGAGAGCAGGGACATGCGCCGGGTGAGCCGGCCAGAGGGCAGAAGGGAGGCGGCATAGTCTGCTATGATACCAGCTACATCTAGATTACAAGCCTTATCAAAGGCGATGAAACCTACATTTGCATTGGCCTCGCAGACACAGAAGGAGCCGTCGTCTTTCATCAATAGATCAATGCCACACACATCCATCCCCAAGATATTAGACACCTGGATAGCTAGCTGCTTCCCTTGTTCACTCAATGAGCACATCATCCCCACACCACCTGGAAAACAAGAGCAGATACAGGAATTGCCAAAATATTAATCTGGAGTAGAACACATACTGGTCTCTTCTAAATTGGTGATGAAAATAACCAAGCAAGTTTGGTGGAAAACTGATTTTTTGTTTGGTCTTCTGGACTACATCTCACTTATGTAGCATCAGCTACCTGACACACCTGATCCTCCACCTCCTGAGTGCCGGTATTTCAGTTATGCACTTACCAGGCTTAAAATGAGGATTTTAAAAAAAAAAAAAAAAATCAGTATGAACATAGATTAAAGACAAGTGAGGCTGGGCCTGGTAGTGCGCGCCTTTAATCCCAGCACTCGGGAGGCAGAGGCAGGCGGATCTCTGTGAGTTCAAGGCCAGCCTGGTCTCCATGGTGAATCCAGGAAAGCTGGGGCTACAGGGAAACCCTGTCTCAAAAAAACCAAAAAAAAAAAAAAAAAAGTGAGAATGAGCTTCCAAGAGAAAATTAGGATCTTTAATCCTAATACTAAAATTTAAATACTTGATTTAAAATTAAGTATGAGAAAATTAGGATTTAAGTCTAGATTTCCTTTAGGAAGGACCTGGTCCCTACAGTTCCTCAAAGAATTTGATGACCTAGTATTTTTTTAATGTTACCATAGTTGGTCTTAGCAAAACATTAAACTTTCCTTAAAGCCTATTTTCCTATAATAACACGAACAAAATACAGTATCCACAAAGGAGCACTTCCAGAACCTCCCATTCCCACCACAAATGCCAAAAATGTGCAGATGCTCAAAGCTCTTATGGAACATGGTGCAACATTTACATATAAATATATATTATCTCTAGAAAATGTACAATCCCTGCTATAATGTAAACACTAAATAGTTTAGTTAAAATATAGTGCTTGGGAAAAATGGTTAAAATATGTTCACTACAGATACAACCACTATAGACCCAACTACATAGTTTACAAAGAAAATTCAATTCAAGACAATACTCAGACAAGGGTGCCAGGGAAAGGATGAGGAGAGACTGACTAAATTACTTGATTCTTGCAGATATATCATGCTTGGCATGAGACAAGTTTAAGTTTTGCTTTTTGGAACTTTTTAGAATCCCCATCCCCAATCCCTTGCTGGGACTGAATCTAGAATCTTATACATGCTAAGCAAGTGTTATATCACCAAGTGAATCTCTGGAATCTGTAGGCATAGAGGCATAACTATAATTAAGAAAATGTTGTGTAAATACATAAGATTGTCTGGTTTTATATATAGCAAGTGTTAATATTTTTTGATATTTTATTTTTATTTTTGGTGTATGAGTGTATTGCTTGCATGTATACAAGTGCACCCATGTAGTGCAATGCCTGCAGCAGTCAGAAGAGGGTATCAGACTCCTTTGGAACTGGAGTCAGGACGATAGTTAGCTGCCATGTGGGTGCTTGGAATTGAACTAGAGTCCTCTGCAAGAGCAGCCAGTGCTCTTTAACTGCTGAGCCATCTCTCCAGCCCCTAATAATTTTTTATTTTATTATTTTATTTTATGTGTATGAGTGTTATGCCTGCGTGGAGGTAAGTGCACCCATGTCATGCAATGCCCGCAGAGGACAGAAGAGGCTGTCGGATTCTCTGGAACAGAGTTACGGACAGTTGTTAGCTGCCATGTAGGTGCTGGGATTCAAACCCAGGTCTTCTGCAAGAACAGTCAGTGCTCTTAACCACTGGGCCATCTCTCCAGGCCCCCCTAATAATTTATTTTTAAAAATTAAAATAGAGATGCAAAACAGGAACAAAAGAGGGGTTGCAGACTGGGAATATGGTGGCCAAGTCATGGCTCTCTTCCTCTAGAGCTTCAATTCCTAAGAAAAAAATTCTAGGGCTTCAAATGAAGTCTTGAGATTTTCTAGTATTTAAGAGGAAGGAAGAACTTGGAGACTATCTTTAAGAATCTGAATTAAGTCTAGAAGCAAAGAAATCTGAGAAGAATTTGGGTGAAATAGCTCTGAATAGCCACATAGGAGTAAAGGCGACATCATGATGTGAGTATGCCTGTCTGTGGTGCCCAAAAAGCTCAAAACGTACTAGGACAGCATCTAAGTCTTTCTTACTCAGGGACTGGAAAAGTAAGAGAGGTCTAGGAAACAGTTAAGTCTTGCCAGCATCTGGAAGACTAGGGCAATATGAAAGAGCTTGACCTGACAAACAAGATAAATACCTATCACATGAATAAACCCACAAAAATCAGGGTGGGTATGGGGGCCTATCTATAATTCCAGCCTTGAAAGACTGAGAAAGGGCATTCCCTACCAAAGAAGATTCCTGTTGTCAACCTTGAGCCTCCACATGCATATGTTCACACATGAACCCCAATATACATGTAAATATAGATACATGCATACATGCAGATCACATACACAAATTGAAAAGAAGAACAAACTCTTTGGGAAAATAATAAAACTTAAAAATCTAGGGGTGTGATGGAATGGTTCAGCAGGCAAAAGCACTTCCCAAAATGTCTACCAGTCTGAATTCTAGCCCTGGGACCCACATGGTGAAAGGAGAACCAACTCCTCCAAGTTGTTCTTTAACTTCCACACTTGTGCTGTGGCACATGCCCTCCACTAAATAAGTGAATGAATGAACAAACAAACAAATAAATAAATGAATAATAAATAAATACTGAAAAGATCTAGAAGTGGTAAACTGTAACAGGCCAATTATCACAGAAGAAACTAGAAAGTGAAATCAGGACAAGATAAGAGTCATAGCTCAGTTATTTTAACAGAATGTCTTAGGAAAAGATGAAAAAGTTCCCCCAATGCATTAAATAAAGTCAGCCCAATCTGAATCAAATATAAGCAAGACATTAAAAAAAAAAAAAAAAAAAGGAGGAGGAGGAGGAGGAGGAGGAGGAGGAAGAAGAAGGTTGAAGGAGGAATGAGAAGCAGAAGCAGCCAGGTGGTGGCACATGGCTTTAATCCCACCACTCCGGAGGCAGAGGCAGGTGGATCTTTGTGAGGCCAGCCTCGTCTACATAGAGTTCTGGGTCAGCTGGGACTATAGAAGGCCCTGTCTCAAAAAACAAACAAAAATTAAATATATGTATATGTTTTGAGTAAACTATTGAAAGAATGAATTCGATAAAATTTTTTAAAAGCTATTATAAGCCGGGCATAGTGGCACACGCCTTTAGTCCCTGTACTCAGGAGGCAGAGACAGGTGGATCTCTGAGTTCAAGGTGAGCCTGGTCTATATAGTGAGTTCCAGGCCATCTGGAGCTACAGAGAAACCCTGTGTTAAAAAGATCCCCCAAAAATAATAATAAAATAAAACTATTTTAAGGGGCTGGAGAGATGACATGGCGATTAAGAGCAGTGGCTGCTCTTGCAGAGGATTTGGGTTCCATTCCTAGTATCCACATGGCAGCTGACAACTATCCCTAACTTCATTTCCAGGGGGTCCAATGCCCTCTTCTAGCTTCTGTGGTCATTGTATGCACTTAGTGCACTTACAAGCAGACAAAATACTCGTACACATAGAAATAAATAAATTGGGCTAGAAAGATGGTTCAGAGGTTAAGAGTAATAGCTGCTCTCGCAGAGGGCCCAGGTTTGAGTCCCAGCACCTACACGGCAGCTAACTACTATCTATAATTCAAGTTCCAGGGGATCTGATGCCCTCTTCTGAGCAACTTGGGCACTGCATGACATGTGCACCCATACCGACAAGCAGGCAATACACTCATACACATAAAATAAAAAATAAAATATTAAAAAATAAATAAGAGCTCAAATAACTTTTCTGAAGTATGAAACACATCAACATAATTAATTGTAGCATTAAAAGTGAGAAATACCAATGATCTTAACAGAAAGATGCCAATAATAGGACGTACCCAGTGGTAGAGCACTTTCCTACCAATTACAAGGCCCTCGTTTCCAGCCCCAGGACTGCTAAAAACAATAACAGAATGGAAATTGGATAAAATCTATAATGAAATCTCAATTTTTTAAAAAAGGAATTCTAAAAGAATGAATTTTCTTAAATAAGTATTAATATCCTAGACAGCAAAACTATTATCAAATAAAACCAGAAACAAAACAAAGAAAATTATAATCATGATTATTCAACTGGAGAGAAAGCTGGAAACTTTAATAGTATTTTCAGTTGTTCGGAGATTTAGGGGAGCAATAGCTACTAGCATTATTGACACCTACTTAAAAATGCTAAACAAGACAAAAATGATGCTAAAACAAAGATAACAAAAATCCCCAGTGACACTTAAGGAGCCAAAATTCCTTCTCCCTGCACCTTTTTTGTCCCCACAAACCCCCCATGACTTTCCCTTTCGTATTCTAAAACCCAGTAATCACTTGTCTTACTGTTTTCCTTCTTTTCTTTTCCTCTCCACTCCTGAACAACAGTCTAATGAGGGAAAATACATCTGTCTTGAATACTGCAGGAACTGCCAATGAAAGCAGGTAACTTAAATTTAAAAACAAATAAAAAACCATAATGCCCTAACTCTAGATACCCAAAACTCAATGGAAAACAAGACTCCTTTAAAAACTGGCAAGTCCAAAGTCATAGACTCCAGTGATAGTAAAATTAGATAAAATTCTAGGTAAAGAAGAATTCCAAAGAGCGATTATAAATACATTCAAAGAAATTAGAGAGTACACAAATTCCTGAATTAATTCCCAAGAGAACACAAACAAATGAAATAAAGAAATGAGTTCAGGGTATGAAAATGAAATTCAATAAAGTGATAGATATACTTAAGAAAAACCAAAATGAAATACTGGAAATAAAAAATTCAGTAAGTGTATGCTGGGCATGGTGGCACACACCTTTAATCCCAGCACTCGGGAGGCAGAGGCAGGTGAATCTCTGAGTTCAAGGCCAGCCTGGCCTACATAGCAAGTTCCAGCTGTTAAGTATGATAGACTACAGAAAGATCCTGTCTCAAAACGATAAAAAAAAAAAAGTCAAAATAAAATAAAATTAACAAATTGTGAGATCTCTGGTGATCTTGTAGTGAAAAGACTAAATCTATGAATTTTGGGTATAAGGAAAATTCTAAACCAAAGACACAGAACACTTTTAAAAACACAATGAAATCACAGCAGAAAATTTCCCAGATCTGGGAAGAGATGCCCATCCAGTGCTTGCTTCGGCAACACATGCTAAAATTGGAAATGCCCATGCAGATGTCAGAAACACTGAGAATACCACATAGGGTAGAGCAGAAAAGAAACTTCCCATATCAGATAATGATTAAAACACTAAATATACAGAACAAAGTAAGTGCTGTTGGTTGAAAGCTGGAAGAGAAAGGGGCAAGTCATATATAAGGGCAGGCCCATCAGACTAAGAGCTAATTTCCCAACAGAAATCTTGGAAGGATTTGGAATACTGTATTTCAAATTTCAGAAAGACCATAACTGCCAAACCAGACAACCCTGCAAAACTATCTGACATAATTGAAAGAGAAAGAAAAATCTTTCCATGATAAAAGCAAGCTAAGGGAATTTATGACCACTAAACTCTAATCCTCTACAGAGGATACCAGAAGGAATTCTTCCAACTGTACAGAAAGATAAACATTTCCCAGATGTTACAGAGAGGCGTGAACCACACCCACTCCAGCAGCAATTGAACAGGTGAGGAATATGTAAACATTCAACACTACAAAATCAACAAAATGACAGGAATGAAGATGCGCCTTTCCATAACACTGGACATTAATGACCCCAATTCCCCAATCAAAAGGAACATGTATGACTGGATTAAAAAAAAAAAATCTGTTGCCTCCAAGAAACACATCTCAAAGACATGCTACTTTAGTGTGAAAAAAATGGACAAAAGTGTTCTAAGCAAATGGAACTAGGAAACAGGCAGGGCTGTCCTAAGATCAAGAGATAAAGACACTTTGGACTGATTAAGGAACAATCTGACAAGAGGACATTACAATTCTAAAAAGAATCACATAATAGGACACAAAGTAAGACTTAAGGAAAGCAGAATAAACAATTCCTTGTACGCTACCTGAGTACAATGTAATAAAAGTCAAAATCAACAGCAGGACACTACAGAACAATCACTCATGGAGACTGAATACACTGTTGTCAATGAAAAAGTCAAAAAGGAAATTTTTAATTCCTAGACATGAATAAAAAGGAAAACACAACATATCAAAAATCTATGGAATAGAACAAAAGTAACCTTAACCAGGAAGCTAATTAAAAGTATCAATATGGGGTGGAGAGGGGGAAAAGCAATCTCAAATATATAACTAGGCACCTGAGGACTGTGGAAAAACAAGAACAATCCAAATCTAAAGCAGTAGATGGAAAGAAATAATTAAGACCACATTTAATGAAGCAGAAATTAAAACAAAACTACATAGTATCAATGGAATGAACAGTTGGTTCTTTGAAAAGATAAATCAGATTGACTAAATCTTTAAAAGAAAAAAAAAACTAACCAAAGACAGAAGATCCAAATTAATGAAATTAGAGATGAAAAGGGAGCTATTTCAACAGATACCAATGAAATTCAGAAAAATCATTAAGGATACAACTAAAAAATCTTATATTCTACAAAATTAGAAAATCTAAAAGAAATGGATGGATTTTTAGATGCCTATTACCTTCCTAAATCAGACTAAAATGAGAGATAAACAATTTAAATAGATCTAAAACAGGCAACAGATTGTAGTAGTAATAAAAATCCCAACTAAAAAAGGTCCACAACCAGATGGCTTCATGGCTGAATTCTACTTAAAAGAAGAACTAATAACAATTCTTTTCAATTCATTCTATAAATAAAAAAAGAATGGAACCCTGCCAAACTTCTTTTTGCAAAGCCAGATATATTACGCTAAAAAAAAAAAAAGAAAAAAAAATAAAAATCAGACAAAGACACGACATCCCTGAAGGAATATAAATGTTCTCAAAAAAAAAACCAAAAACAAAAAAACACTGCTGGGCATAGTGGCACACTCCTTTAATCCCAGCCCTAGGGAGGCATCAGGAAGCGGGGGCAGATCTCGGTGAGATGGACGCTGGACTGATATACACAATGAGCAGGCTTGATGACTACAGACGCAAAGTTCAACATACGTGTATTAATCATTGTAATATATCATGTGAATGGACTTGAGAACAGAAATCTCAGATCCTCTTAGTAAGATACAAAAAAGATGTTTGACAAAATCCAACATTTTGAGCTTGTCATGACAAAAGCTCTAGGAATGGAAAGGACATATCTCCATAGCTGATGAAATCTACAGCCAGCATCATGTTAATGGGGAAAACTATTTCCACTATGATCAGGAACAAGACAAAGCAGACTACTCTTTCCACTCCTAGTCAATATGGTACCTGAAGTGTTAACTAGAGTGTAAGATGAGAGAGGGAATAAAAATGAGACACAAGTAAGAGAGGAAGAGGCCAAAGCATCCTTGTTTGAAGACAGTCTGATCCTATATACATAAGGTAAAAAGTCTCCACTAGGAAACTCTTTCAGCAAAGTAACAAGATATAAACTTTACATACAAAAGTCTATAATCCTCCTATATATCAATGATAAACAAAGAGAGAGAGAGAGAGAGAGAGAGAGAGAGAAAGAAAGAAAGAAAGAAAGAAAGAAAGAAAGAAACTAGGCAAACAATTCCATTCACAACAGCCTCAAAATAAAAAAAAAACAAACCCATAAAAACCCTTGGCATAAACCTAACCAAGGAAGTAAAAAGCATTACAATGACAACTTTAAGCCATTGAAGAAAGAAACAGAGGAAGACACTAGAAGGAGGAAATCTCTCCCATGGTCACGGACTAGAAGAATTAATACTATGAAATGCAATCCCAATGAAAATTTCAACAGCATTTTTCACAAAATAGAAAAAAAAACAAAAAAACAAAAACCCAATCAACCCACCAATCAACCAACCAACCAACCAACCAAACAAACAAACAAAAAGACACTTTATATGGTAGCACAAAAGACCCCAGATAGCCAAAACAATTTTGAGTAAAAAGAGTAATGCTAGAGATTAGCACCATACCTGATTTCAAGTTATACTTCAGATTAGCATCAAAGTGATAAACAGTATGGTACTGGCACAGAAACAGAAATGGAGATCAGTATAGTGGTTAGTGTTGTCAACATGACAGACTCTGAACTGGGAATACCTGTGGGGGATTATCTTGATCATGCTAATTGATATAGTAAGATACATCTTAATTGTGAGCAGGACCATTCCCGATTCAGGGAATCCTAGATTGTAGAAAATGGAGAGTGATGGTGAATGTGAGGAGACCAGCTACTTCAAGCTCCTCCTGCCTTGATTTCTGTGCCATGATTGACCATACCTTGAACTGTGAGCTAGAGTAAAGCCTTCCAAACTTAAGTTACTTTTGTCAGGGCATTTAATCACAACAGTAGAAGCAGAAACTAAGGACCCCCAGGTATAAGTCCATGAAGCTACTACCATCAGATTTTTGACAAAGAAGCCAACAACACACACTGGAGAAAAGATGGTACTTGGAATGAAACTTGAGCTCTATCTCTCAACCTGCACAAATGTCAACTCCCCATAAATCAAAGACTTCCATGTAAAACTTGAAACTCTGAAACTGCTAGAAGAAAAAGTAGGGAAACACTTCAAAATATATAGGCATGGGCAAGGACTTTCTTAACAGGGTGCCAGTCGCTCAGGAAATTAAAGTTTCTGTATAGTAACAGAACAGAGGCAGCCTACAGAGTGGGAGAAGATCTCTGCAGGCAATACATCTGACAGAGGGCTAACATATAGAATATGCAAATGTCTCAAAAAACTAAACACCAAAACCAAAACAAAACTATCCAATCTATAAATGGGTTAAAGAAATGAGCAGAGAGCTAAAGAAATGACTCGCTGGCAAAAAGAGCTTCCTGTGAAATTCTGACAACCTGAGCTAGATTCCTGGAATCTATGATAGGAAAGAATCAACTCCAGAATGCTGGCCCGGATCTCCACAAACAAGCATGCATGTGAACAAAATAATGAAAAGAAACAATTCTCAGAAGACGAAATACAAATACAGGTAGCTAATAAACATGAAAAATATTCAGCTTCACTAGTGATCAGACAAATGCAAAGGAAAACTACACTGACATTCCATCTTAAACAAATGGGGATCCTTATATACTACTGGTGAGACAGTAAAATGCTGTCCAACCAATAAAACTAACAGATCTGTCTGACTCTGTATATCACAGGGATACTTACACTTGTACATCAATATATACAGGTAAATTAGAGAATCAACCTAGATGTCCACCGACAGGAATGGATAAGGAAAAATGTGTATACTTTTTTCAGAGATAAAGAAAAAGTTATATCCTTTTCAGGAAAATGAACAGAACCAGGGAAAATCATATTAAACAAATTAGGCCAACTGTATAAAGACAAACATTGCTATGTTTTCTCATTTGTGGTTTCTATATTTTATATAAATACGTATCATGTATCTGTGTGTGTGGGCACGTGCATGTGCATGTGATGAAAGTAGAAATAAAAATGAGGGAACAAAAGGGACCAATGAGAAGGGAGAGAGACAAGAAAAGAGAAGGTGCTGTGAGAAGGAATATGCTAAATATACAATATGTACGTATGGAAACTTGAAAAAATGAAAAAATTTAAATTATCACAAAAAAGAAAGCAATTTTATGATCAATGAAATATAACTCAGTAACTAGAAAAATAAAATTACAAATCACATTTACGTGTGGAAAAAAATGTTCTTTTGAATCATTAAGATGCATAGCTATATACAATCACTCATTAGACAAGCCACAGTATTACTTTATGTACTGTAACGGAAAGATGCCTCAATTGTTTTTACCTAGTGAGCAGTTGCTTTGCATCCTTCCATCTGTTGAACAACGTAACATGGTGCCAACTACACGGCCTCCCACAACAATGACACGTACATCCTTTCCATGAGACTCTTTTATGTATTTCTGGAACAGGTATGGTGCTTCATGGCGAATAAGATGGCTTAAGTCTGCCAAATGGTGTTTATCTCGTGCCAAAAAAACAGCTTTGCCTATAATTTAAAAAGAATAAAAAAAATACTATATATATATATATCATCAAATTGTCAGTTAATAGATATTACCTATACATTCTTGTGTCCTAATATGCTTTAAAAACCCCATTATACTTTTATGTTTTTCAAGTATTCTTTGCTATTACTATTTTGACTAAAGTAATTTAGCTACGATTAGGGAGATAATGTGAAAAACATAAAAGGGCAAATTTAACAAATTTCTATTGGTCCCTCAAACTCTTATTCATTTTGGTTTATATTATGATGTGGGGAATCTACCCTTTGAATTCCTCCAGAAGACAGCCAGTAACGCTAGATTTGTTCATTAGGAAAACCCTATGGTAAAACCATATGTTAAAGTATACATATAATGCATAGCTACACATTAATGCTCTATTACTACATAGTAACATAACAATGTTATTATAGTTATTATTTCTAAATGCTCAAGTCTATTCCACTGTTCCTTTTACTTGGATGCCAATGGAGGCAGCTCTTCTTAACATATGGTTGTAAGTTTTCTTTCTTGTTTTAAAAATTCTCAAGTAGCAGCGATCACAGCAACAGGAATCTGAATGGCTAGGAACTGACTGCAAATGCCACCATGGCATGAGGGTGCAAGGTGGAGCTGGTAGCGACCATTCTGGTTAGATGGAACGTTCTGCTGTCAAGGAACAGCCGAGCTCTGAGAAGGCTGAGAATGGAAGCGTGCTGCAGATGCTACTGAAGTGACAGAGACTCAGCTGGGCTCTGTGTAAGGAGAGAATGGCCAACAACCGGAGGAACAGAATTGCAACATGGGGCAGGTATAAAACAGTCTACAGATTAGCTTTAGCATAGATACCTGAAGGATAACAAATCTTAAAACTTTGGCCAACCTTCCATGGCAGTCTCTTATCATAGTGTGTGTGTGTGTGTGTGTATATCTGAAATCATGTTATTTAATGAGAAGGAATACCATATATTGACAAATATTGGGAGTACATGACAACGAGAGACCTGGGAAAAAAGTCAGGCAAATAACATCCCCAAAACAATGAAAAGATCTGTATTCTCTTTTAAAAATATTTATTATTTTTATTTTATATATATGAGTGTTTTGCCTGTATGTATATAAGTGCAGCCGTGTCCTGTAATACCCAAGGAGGTGAGAAGATGCTGGCGGATCCCCTAGAACTGGAGTTATGGACATTGTTAGCTGCCATATTGGTGCTGGGAATCAAACTGGGGTCCTCTGCAAGAGTAACAACTGAGCCTTCTCTCCAGTCCCCAGAAAAGGTGAATTATTGATAAATAAAGGAATAGTTTGATCCAGGGAGTACACACACAGGAGAATATTATCCCAAATTTGGAAGCTGGGATTAAGGATTTTTCACAGAAATTTGAAAAGTGAGTAATACAGAAAGTTGGTATCGAGTCATTGCTGTGACTGTTCCTGTTAATGTGGTTCAAAACTGGAGAAATTTGGAAACATCTGAAGATCTTGGCTACAGAAGCCTGGCAAGTGAGAAGCAGAAAGAGTAACTCTGGTTATTGTTTAGAAGGATAGCTGACAGGAATGCAAAAGTAGAAGTTTCAGATGCTAACGAAAACTCTACAGAGAATATCAAATATAGGCCAGGAGCATTACATTCTGGTGAAGAACTATTTACATTTTGTTCTAGTCCTGAGACATTATGTGAGACTGAATTTAAATATCACAAGGTATAAGGAAGAAAAATTCAAGGAAGCCAGCATTTAGGCTGTTGCATTATTAATGCTAGCTGCTTTTAGATGCCATTGCAGTGAAAACTGAACAAAGAGAAAAAAAACCAAAGTTCTTTTATAAACTGCACTTTGCTTTTCTCTTCCAGTAGCATGCATAGCACCTTCCAGCACTATGAAAGCTAGCCAGCAGCTTCAAGGTCAGTACCAGCTTGATCTCTCCATGTTCAATGACTCAGCAAAAAGGGCGTGGTGGCACACACCTTTAATCCCAGCACTCGGAAGGCAGAGGCAGGTGGATCTCTGTGAGTCAGAGGCCAGCCTGGTCTCCATAGTGAATCCAGGCCAGCTAGGGCTACAGGGAGACCAGACCCTGTCTCAAAGAGACCAAAAAAAAAAAAAGAAAAAGTATTTTCTTGCCAGGCATGGTAGCATACGCCTTTAATCCCAGCACTTGGGAGAATCTCTTGTGAGTTCAAGGCCAGCCTGGTCTCCATATCAAATCCAGACAAGCTGTGGCTACAGGGAAACTCTGTCTCAAAAAGACAAAAAAAAGCTGGGGCGTGGGGTGCACGCCTTTAATCCCAGCACTTGGGAGGCAGAGGCAGGTGGAGCTCTGTAAGTTCAAAGCCAGCCTGGTCTACACAGTGAGTTCCAGGTCAGCTGAGGCTACAGAGAGACCATACCTCAAAAAGACAAAAAAAAAAAAAAAAAAAAAAAAAAAAAAAAAGTTCTTTGCTGGGAGCTAGAGAGATGACTCATAGGTTAAAAGCACTAGTTATTCTAGCGGAAGACCCAGGTTCAAGACCCAGGTTCGATTCCCAGCACTCAAAGTGTGGCTAACAACTGTCCATAACTCCAGTTCCAGGGGATCCGACACCTTGTTCTGACCTCCTCAGGCACTGCCAACATGGGTGCATATACATACATGCAGACAATACATTCATACACATAAAAATAGTAAGTAAAATATATTTTTAAAAATTGTACTTTGCCCGGAAAAAAAATTCATGTAAATCGAGGCGAAGGAAACTCTGGGCCCACAAGACATTAGGGCCATTAGAAAGAAATCAAGTGTCTTGCATCAAGACAGTAGGAAAGATGCCTCGAGATCTCTGTGAGACTTAGCAGGACCCACAGGCATTCACTGGCAGGCTCAAGGTGCAAAAATTTTCAAACTCATTTCAAAGACTTTCCTTTGAGAAGATAGCTCTGAGGCACCCTATTCGCAAAGGTCTGCTGAGGAAAAGTGTCTTCCCAAGTTCAGTTATCCATGTGCTTAGAGGCTACTGCAGGTATAGCCCAAGGAGTACTGGCCATTGTTTGAACAGACAGCACATTTAACACTGTGCACACTGAGGTTGTACAGTGATGCTAGTTTTACAGGCATGCAGAATGGAGACTTCAACCTAGATTTTTTTTTTTTTAAAAGAATCTTTAATTTTTTTTAATATGTGCATTACAGAAAGCAAAACGCAAGCCAAGAACAAAACCATCCAGTCACATCCAGCTCAACTGGACGTGAAGGGAAATCTAGGAGGTGAGGCAATATACAACGGAGATCGTAGGAAGTTGGAACATTTGTCTAGCAAAGACACAGGACGAGTCTTGAGTCTCAAGAAAAAACTTTGCACTTGAACTTCTGAGCAATACCTTGATGCTGTGGGGGCTTGTGGAGATGCACAGAATCCATTCTGCATTAGTAGATGGACATGAACCTTTTGAGTTCCAGGAGTAGAAGATATGTGTGGCCAGGCATGGTGGTGCAAACTTTTTAATCTCAGCTCCAGGAGGCAGAGGCATGCAGGCCTTTCTGAGTTTAAGGCCAGCCTGGTCTACATAGTGAGTTCCAGGACAACTGAGGCTACAGAGAGACCCTGTCTCAAGAAAATTAAAAAAAAAAAAAAAAGAAGCAGCAGCTATGTTTGGGTGGTAAGTTGGCACACAATGCATTTGTAATGGTTCATCTTCATTATCAGTTTGATAGACCTGGAAGTGGTTAGAAGTCTAGTAAAGCACACCTCCAGTGTGTCTATAACAGCATTCCCGAGAGGACTGATCAAGAAGAAAGTCTTATTCTGATATTGGTGCAGGTTTCCCTACCTGGGGGACAAGATTAAAAAAAAAGGAGAAACAGGAAAGCAAGTGACTGTTCTGTATCCTAGCTACCATGATCTCAGCTTTTCTCCATCAAGATCCCCACCATGACTAACTGAAAACTCTGAAACAAGGCAAAAAATGTTTCCTACATATGAAAAGAAAGCATTCTTCCTTTATGTAAAGTTACTAAACATTCAGGTCTTCCAACTAAGTTGAGAGGGGGTGACTCGACTTGTGTTATTGAAGAGAAAGACACAGACATTAACTAGATAGAGATTTAGTCAAAGCATGCATGTTAAAATCTCTAGCATAACCACTAAATAGAAACAGCATCTCAGAAACGGAACTTGCAGTAACCTAGAAGTTTCCAGTGCCATATGCTCACTGGTTGTTCTTCAACTGTTCTTCAGAGGTCCTGTTAAAATCACCCCCTCTTTATTCACAAACATAATTTCAAAACTATGCACCATATCAAGAACTCATACACACCTCTATGACCCCGTGTATTCTTCACTACCATTGGGAATTCCAAGACTTCTGCTTCATCAATCATTTTAGCAAAATTTTCATGGCCACCTGGTTTGAGCAGGAAAAAAAGAATTTTTTTTAAAGAATAGCAAAAGTATGGTGTGGTTCATATTACTAAAGACATCACAAGGCAAGTAGAAGAGACTGATGGCTAGCTTTTGTATTTAAAAAAAATGAGTAGAAAGTATAACTGATTATCAATTTAAAGCTGGGTCTTTTTACTTATATGTATATGCATGCATGCATGCATGTTTAACAATACACATGGGTCGGAGGATAACTTCCAGGAGTCAGTTCTCTGCATCTACCATATGAGTACCAGGGATTAAAGTCAGGGCATAGGCCTTGACAAAAAGCACCTTTATCCACTGAACCATCTTACCAGTCTATCCTAAAGCTATCTTTTAAAACAGGTAATAGCTATCTTAAAACTATATGGAGCCTGATATTCAACATCTTTTAGCTAAACAGGTTTTTGTTTTTCATTTGAGACACAATCTCCCACTACAGTCCAGGCTATCCTAGAATTTATTATGTAGCTGAGGCTTGCCTCTAAATTGCAGCAATCTTCCTGCCTCAGCCTCCCAAATTCCGTAATTCCAGGTTTGAGCCACCACATCTAGCTAAGAGTTTCTCAGTTCATAGCATTTTTCACTTTTTTATCCCTATTCCTCTACCACACAAATAGAAGTCCCAAGATTCCCCTTAATACATAGATTTAATATATAGAGTCCCTAGTCAGATAAGAAAGAACAATGAAAATTCGATGTGGTAGCACATGTCTACAATCTGAGCCCTTATGAAGCCAAGGCAGTAGGAATTTGAAGCCAGCATAGATTGATTACACAGCAACACTATCTCCAGAAAGGAAGACAGCATAGAACCTGAACAGTACATAAATAAAACTTATGCTTGAAAGAGATGCTACATGTACGTGCATACTCACAGACTTTTTTTAGGCTTTCAGTTTTTTCTTTTTTTTTTTTTTGGAATTCATCCCACGGTAAGAAATATATCCTGCTATTATATCTCAGCATAAGACAAGTTTATTAAGCCGGGCATGGTGGATCTCTGTGAGTTCAAGGTCAGCCTGGTCTACATAGCGAGCTCCAGGCCAGCTGGGACTACAGGGAGGCCCTGTCTCAAAAAGACCTCCCAAAAAACTTCCAAAAAAGACAAGTCTGTTTAAATTTTGTCTTTACAAAATATAGTTACATAATATTCTATTTCAGTTATAAGTAAAACTAACAAACCCCTCAGAATTAATTCTACCTGTAATTTAAAAAACACTGATAATGGGGCTGGAGAGAGGTGAGAAGAGGGTGTTGGATCCCCTGGAATGGGAGATAGGTAAGGTTGTTAGCTGCCAGAGTTCCCTAGATCCTCAAAAGAGCAACCAGTACTCTTAACCACTAAACCATCTCTCCAGCCCCTAAAAATTTTTTTTTTATCATTTATTTTGTGTGTGTACATGTATGTGCCCTGAAGCCTGCAGGAACTGGACTCAAGTCATCAGACAAGAAGTCATCTCACTGGCTAAGAACATTTTCCATATTGGCACTTGTATCTGATCTTTGATAACTAGCTGGGAAAGATTTTTCTATTCTGTAAAAAGCCTTTTCTCTTTACTCTTTCTTTTGCTGGGCACAAGCTTTTGTAAAATTTCAAGCAATCCCATCTGTCAATTCTTGCCTTTACTTCCTAAGCTACTGGAATCCTATTCAGAAAATCCTTGCCTATAAGCCTGTATTTTGAAGTGTTTGATGTCTTTTTCCTCTGGTAATTGCAGTTTATGGTCCTACATTAAGATCTTTTAAAAAATATTCTGTTCATTTTTATGTGTATGAGTGTTTTTCTTACATATATGTACCTACACCAAGTGTGTGCAGTGCCTGTGGAGCACAGGAGACTATATCAGATACCAAAGACAGTTATGAGACACCATGTGAGTATTCAGAACCAAACCCTAGTCCTCTGCAAGAGCAGCATGCCTGAGGCCCTCTCTCTAGCCCTACCTAAGATTTTTTATCTCTTCTGAATTGATTTTTCTGCAGGGTAAGATACAGGGATTTAGTTTCAATTCTTCTACATGCAGATTGTCCAGCTTTCTGAGGACCATCTGTGTAATAGGCTCTTTTGTCCAGTGCATGCTTTTGCACATTTAATTGAATGTAGCCATATGAGCTCATTTCTGGGTCGTCTATTCTATTCCACTGATGTGCATCCGTTTTTGTGCCAGAACCCTGTTGGATTTGGTTCGCTGGTTCATTTTTGTTGTTGTTAGCACTAGGGGTTTAACTCATAGTTTCAAATATGCTAAGAATTTTTAACACCAAGCTATATCCCCAGCCTCCTTTTAACTTCTGAAAAAAGGTCTCACTTTCCCAAGTAGGCCTTGACTCACTCTGTAGCCTGTCTGTTCTTGAACTTGTGATCCTGCCTGTATCACAGGAGCAGCAGGGATTACAAGCCTGCACAGCCAAGCCTTGCTTTGTTGTTGTTGTTTTTTGACACTCTACTCTCTTTTATCATCAAACACATGCATAACTTTTGAGTTCGCCCTCAAATCCAGAACTCATGGATTTATCTTGCCTCTTACTGTTTTATTGCCCAGGACCTAATGAAAGAGCACTAAAAGCAAAAATGACATGCAGTCATAACAAAAATCATCTTGATGAGAAAAATTAAGCCAGGAAAAGGTTAATATCACAATATGAATAACCTGAAATTTACAGAAATTATACCATCTACTTAAAAGATTTTAATCCATCACCATTAAAAGTCCTATTTGATAGTTTGGTTATAGCTAGCCTTTTTCTTCTTCCCATTCTGATAAAAAGCAAAATGGTAGCACCATGATCATAAACTAAAATCCCCAAAGCATTAGGAAATATGACATGAAGAGAGTCATAGTTATTCCATCCTTTTGTGTAATTACTAAAAGCAGTAATTGCATCAACACATGTATATAGTGTTTCCTTCATCAGAATATTAAAATGACAAATATTTCATTTTAAATCCTCATTAAAGCTCCAAGTATTTAGCCAGGCGTGGTGGTGTAGGCCTTTAATCCCAGCACTTGGGAGGCAGAGGCAGAGGCAGGCGGATCTCTGTGAGTTCAAGGCCAGCCTGGTCTCCATAGTGAATCCAGGACAGCTGGGGCTACAGGGAGACCCTGTCTCAAAAAGACCAAAAAAAAAAAACCCTCCAAGTATTATACCTACACAGTTATTTGAAGAAATGCTTTACAAGAAGCTGTACCCAACTGGGTGTAGTGGCACACTCCTGTAATTCAAGTTCCACAGAAGGAGGGATGCCTGAGGCAAAACCTGGTCTATACAGCAAGTGCCAGGCCACCAGTGCTCCACAGCAAGACAGTGTACTTCAAAAACTAAAAACAATAAAGAAGTGTACACATCTTTTCCAAACCAGCTAAGAACCAAAAGTTTGAAATTCACACTGATTTTACAGAGGTGTTACTCAAAATATGCCTCTTGTGACTTGTTATTGACATGTGCTCACATAAATACAAAAGGCACAGAAGCAGCTGTGTATAGTAGCACACACCTTTAGAACCAGCACTGTGGAGGCAGAAGCAGGCAGATCTCTGTGAAATCTAGGCTAGCCTGGTTTACGTGGCAAGTTCTAGGCCAGCTGGAACTACACAGTAAGACCCTGTCAAAACAACAATGAAAAACACTAGAAACTTCTAACAGTTTATTATGGTTGTAATACACTTCATTTGAGTATTAATCTACAGCAGACTGACTTTAAAAAAAATGATCCTTTATCATACATAGTTTAAGAGGCACTGCTTTACTGCAGGGCTGGAGAGATGGCTCAGTGGTTAAGAGCACTGACTGTTCTTACAGCGGACCTGGGTTCAGTTTTAGCACCCACATGGCAGCTAACAACTGTCTGTAACTCCAGCTCCAGAAGATCCACCACCCTCTTCTGTTCTCCATGGGGAATACCCAACACGGCTGTGCTTATATACATGTAGTCATAACACTCATACACATAAAATAACAATAAATAAATAAGAAGCACTGTTTTCAAGCATACCTTACATCTTCTCTAATAGTCAAATAGACTAAAAACATTTATGAAATCTATAGCAGACTGACTTTAAAAAAAAAGATCCTTTATCACAGTTTAAGAAGTACTGCTTTCAGCCAAGCATGGTGGCATATATCTTTAATCTCAGAACTTGGGTGGCAGAGTCAAGTGGATCATTGTGAGTTCCAAGCCAGCTGGGGTTACAAGAGGACCCTGTCTCAAAAAGACCAGGAAAAAAAAAAAAAAAAAAAAAAAAAAAAATTTTTTTAGCACTGCTTTCAAGCATACATTATATCTCCTCTAATAATGTCACGTAAATAGAATAAAGATTATTTATGAAATTATGAAATGGTGATGAAGAAATAAAACATAAAGACTGTTGGCTAGACTTGTCCCATTGCTTAGTTTTACAATGTTTTTTTTTTTTTGGTCTTTTTGAGACAGGGTCTCCCTATAGCCTCAGCTGTCCTGGAATTCACTATGTAGACCAGGCTGGCCTTGAACTCACAGAGATCCGCCTGCCTCTGCCTCCCAGTGCTGGGATTAAAGGTGTGCGCCACCATGCCTGGCAGTTTTACAATGTTTTATTGGAACAGAGATATACTCATTTAAGCATTGCAGTCAGCAGTTTTCACATTACAAGGTCCACACAAAAAGTTCTGGTCTATAAAATCACAATGTTTACCACCTGGACTTTACAGAAAAAGTTTGCCAAACCTATTTGACTCCATATCAAAAACCCAACCTTAAGACATAATTCCATAACTCTTCTAGCCTAGGATGTTGCAGGGTCTTGATATGTAGCCCAGGATGACCTGAAATGCAAATCCTCTTGCCACTACCTCTTGAGGGCCAGAACCAGTTATGCACCACCGTGCCCAACTTGAAAGTTATTTCTGTAAGAGAAGGCTCTTCCAGGTTCAAATATCTATCCCTATTAGTTTAATAGGAATCTTAAAAGTATCAGTACTTCGAACACTGAAATGATACATTTTATTTGTGTATTTGTGGTATATGTATATGTTGATGTGTGGGCACACGCAGGGACCAAAGAAAGACACAGTATCGTGTTTTATCACAATCTGCCTAATTCTCTAGACACTGAATCTGGAGTTGGCTGGCAGCCAGGAAGCCCCAGTGATCCTCCTGTCTCCATCCTCAACAGCACTGGAGTTACAGGCATGTGTAGCCATGTCCAGCATTCACATGACTACTAGAGATCTCATGTTTGTGCAGCAGCACTCATACCAGGTGAGCCATCTTTCTAGCGCACCACCCCCGACCCCAATTATAAATTCTTATTTGTGATCTCACCATAAGAAAAAGTGTCTGGCAGAGGAACACCGTGGCCAGCTAACTCTTGAAATGTCCAGAATTTATTTACACAGTTCAGGATGGCTTGAGGTCGGTTCATCAATCGGCATCCCATCTTTTCTAAATGGCGCAAAACAGTGATATCACTATCACTTTGCACCCAAGGGGTTGGAACTCTCACTACTACCACTTGAGGGTAGGCAGAGACTGGTTCTCCATTGATCCGCAGACCTGCAAAACATAATCAGGAAACCAGAATCCTTAGAAGGAACTCAGCAATAAAACAGGAATAAGCAGGTCATGATGCTCATATTGTAAATCCCAGCCGCAGGAGACTGAGGCAAGAGGATCTCCAGGAGTTCAACACTAGGTGTGGTGGTTCAGGTCTTTAGTCCCAGCACTTGGGAGTCAAAGGCGGGTCCACAAAGCAAGTTCAAGGTCAGCTGGGGCGATAAGGAGACCTAGTTTCAAAACAAACAAAGCTACAAATCTAAAAATATAGGAAAACACATACACACACACACACACACACACACACACACACACACACACACACACACACGCACATCAAATTGACTCTTCTCACAAAGAAAAAAAAAAACACAGGGGGCTGGAGAGATGGCTCAGCAGTTAAGAGCTAGATTCCCAGCAGCTAACAACCATCTTTAACTCCAGTTCCAGAGAATCCGACAGGCTCTTCCGGCCTCTGCTGGTTTTGTATGACCAGGTTCACTTACAAACATGCAGGCAAAGTACTCATACACATAAAATTTTTTAAAAAGACTGAACAGCTTTGCAGTATAAACAAATCATGGAACAAGGGATGATAAATCACTTTAGGTATGATGTGAATTTTGGGAATTAAGTATTTGTGTCATCACTTCCCAAAGATTAACAAAAAGCTTCATGATTAAAATACAAAAACATAATCATCATGCCTGGTTAATTCAGTAATTTTTAAAGAACCCTCAAATTGTGGGTCTTTTATAAAATATACCTGTCTAGTATGTTTTAAATGTGTAAAAGTTATAGTAGACAATGAAACTTAGTTAAGGTAGCAATAGGAAGCCTGAGATTTCATTCCCTTACAGACACAAGCTACCAGTCCAAAAACCCTTTCTGGGAACTCCAGAACTAGTTCAGAGGTCACAGTACCCCAAGCAAGTATAGCACCAAAACCAGCCACACTGAGGCAGACAGAAAAGTTGGGCATGGTGGCGCATGCCTTTAATCCCAGCACTCGGGAGGCAGAGGCAGGCAGATCTCGTGAGTTCAAGGCCAGGCTGGTCTACATAGTGAGTTCCAGTCCAGCTGGAGCTACAGGAAGACCCTGTCTCAAAAAACGGGGAAAAAAAAAAAAAAAAAACCTAAAAAACAAAAACCCTTTATCCTTAAACACCCCTCCCAAAAAACAAAACTGGGGGGGGGGGGGGGGGTCACCCATTTTCCCTGTCCAAGCTTTCTCTCACAAAGAGTTGTCAGAAAAACTGACCTGATAGATGTTGGGAGGTGCCAAGAAAAAAGGAAAGCAACATGGTCTACGTAACCTGAGGCCTATAGTGCCACTTAAAAGGAAGCAAGAAATAAAGAATGCCTGATTTGAAGTCTGGCCATTCCAACAGGGAAATTCAAAAGGCAAACTCACAGAAGACCCATCTGCTAGCAAAGGTATGAGAGGCCTCCATCTTTCACTGAGTTCACAGATGAAAGAACTCACTTCATTCTCTTCAACAACATTAGGTGACAGTTAATGGCTAAAATTCACTACAGAGAGAATTGTGGTAAACCATCAAGAAAGTACAGAAGTTGAAGAAAAGAGTTAAAATTCTTAACAACATGCTAAGGAGTGTACATTTAACAGATGTTAAACAGTAAGTACCATTTGAGGATTAACAGGAACATTTCTATGGAGAATTCAAACGAACCCAACTTTCAGTATGACTGAATCTAATCTATTTATAAATTCTTTGGAGTCCCTACACAATAGGGAACACACACACACACACACACACACACACACACACAAATTGACCTGAACAAGGTAAAACCTGTATCAAATGAAAACCCGTCTCCAGAAGATGGAAATCCACAGAAGGCAGGGAAAAGGGTGCCTACACCTCTGCTTCTGTTCCCCCAGGGATCCTTTCAGTTTGCAAAAAAGTCAAATAGGTATTTGTCTCTAAAGAAAAGATTAAAAAAAAATTTTAATTTCTGGCGGGACTGGTGGTACAAGGGGATTCTCTGTGAGCTCAAGGTCAGGCTGATCTATATAAAGTTCCAGGCTAGCTAGGGCCACAGGGAGACCTTGTCTCAAAAAGCCAAAGGGGGAGGGGGGGAAAGGTGTGAGCAATCAAGGAAGACACCTAAAGTCAACTTCTCTGGTCTCCATATACATGCGTACACACATGTACATACATACACATGGTAAACTGGGTCATTGTCATTTATTTGCTTAAAAGAAAATGTGAATGTAGTTGGTACTTTTCATGAGAAAAATAATTATCAATGGCGTCAAAGAGAATCCAAGTATCAAATGAATGAAGAAGTAAATGCATGATTTGGAAAAGAAATTCAATCACTCAGAAGAAAAATATGTGTGTGTGTGTGTCTATCCTGAAAGAAAATCTTGGAAATTAAAAGTTCAATTAAGTAAAGAAAACAACAATGGAAAACACCACCAACAGACCTGACCAAGCTGAATAAATATTGTAGGCTGAACACAACATCGAGAGATTACTGCATCCCAATAGCAATAAAGCAAAAAAATTATAATTATGACCACAACATTAAAGACCTCTCTCTCTTTCTCTCTGAGAGAATTTAAAAACAGACCAGACCTATGAATCTAAGGTGTAAGAAGCGGCAACTGAAATATAAACTACAAGCAAAGAAAACTTAATAAAATCATAGCAGAAAATTCCACACATCTAGGAAATAAATATACAAGTACATAAGGCATTCAGAACCCCAAACAGGCATGACCACAAAACAACCACTCCTTATCAAATTACAGTTAAAATGCCAAAAGCATAGAACAAAGAACAAATATTCAGCTGCAATAGTTGTGCCAAGTTTTTACAGTGAAAAGCCTGTCAGAACTAACAGCCCTTTCATCAGAAACCCAAAATGCGATGAGAGCAAGGACTGATGTATTTCAAGCTCTGAAACAAAATAAATGCCAACCAAAATTACTGTATTTAACTGAGAGATTCTTTAAAGTTGAAGGGGAAATAAAAATCTCAACAATAAGTAGGGGAAAAAGGTACTTGGTGACCACTAAGACAGCACTGGAGAGATACTTCAAGGAATACTAACCACAGACAAGGAAGAACTACATACACAAGCCTTACAGCTCGCTCAAGAAGAAATGCATCTCACCAGAAGAGATGAACAAATAACAAGGAAAGATCAAACATCAACTCAATAAACCAGCAAACCTTTAAAGATGAAAAAGGGAGAAGTTGGTAGATATTCTTCAAAAAAAATCATCATAAATATAAATGGTTTTAGCTCTCCAATTAAAAAAATGTACACTAGCTGTATATAAAGGCCCAGAGCCAACGGTTTCTTCTCTGTAAGAAACTCACCTTGCTGGCAAAGACACACAGATGAGAGATGGAAAAAAGATATCTCAAACAAATGGATTCCAAAAGCAAGCAGAGTACTTATACTCAAATCTGACAAAGGCCATCAAGCCAGAATTAGTCAGAAAAGATAAAGAGAACAATCAAGCAAGAAACTCTTAACAAATGTAAATATATTTGCACCAAGCACTGGTACACTGACAAAACCATGGGACAGATAAACAGACCACTTTTCAGGCTACAAAGCTAGTGAGTGGCCTCTCTGTCTCTGCCTCCAGAGCACTGGGATTAGAGAGGCGTGTACTACCACACTCAGCCACAAAGCAAGAAACTGAAATAATAGAAATATTTATCACATTGAAGTAACTTCTTATATCCTACAAGAGATTAAAATGAGAAATCATCAGCAAGAGAAATTACAAAACTACACAAACACATGGAAGCTAAACAACATACTTCTGATTTCATCATTCAATGAAATCACTGGTTTCCAGACACAACAGGGGAGATGGGGAGATAAGGAAGTGGGTTGGATTTGAGGATAGGTGAAAGGGTATAGTATATAATCAAAATGCATTGCATGAAATTCCCAAAGAGTAAAAATATTCTTTTAAGAGTCCATTCAAAATACATCAAAGATCTTAAGACTTCAAACTACTGGAGGAAAACAGAGAAAACACTCTATGCTGCAAGCATAAGCAACAGAATCCCAACAGCTCAGAAAATAGCAGTAAAAGTTGACAAATGGGACTGTGCCCACCAAAGAAACCAATCAGCAGAATGAAGAGGAAGCCTATAGGCTGGGAGAAAATGTTTGCCAGCTATTCAAAATCCAACCTACATTAAAAAAAAAAAAAAAAAAAAAAAAACTCGGGGCTGGAGAGATGGTTGTTCTTGCAGAAGACCCAGGTCTGAATTCCAGCACCCACATGATAGCTAACAACTGTTCATAACTCCAGTCCCAGGAGATCTGACAGTCTCTTCTGACCTCTGAGGGCATTATACGACACGGGTGCACTTACCTACATGCAGGCAATACACGCATACAAATAAAAAACAAAAACAAAACGAAACAAAAAAACAACAAAAAAAACCTCAAGGCCAGATGTGGTGGCACATGTCTTTAACCCCAGCACTCAGAAGGCAGAGGCAGGTGGATCTCTGTGAGTTCAAGGCTAGCCTGGTCTACATAGTAAGTTCCAGGCCAGCTGGAGCTACAGTAAGACCCTGCCTCAAAAAGACAAAAAAGAAAAACAAAACAAACAAAAAACAACCCTCAAAAAATTAAGTACCAAAAGAACAAGTAATCCAATCCACAAATGGGCCATGGAGCTCAATAAAAGAAGCACAAATGGCCAATAATGTCGGACTCCATCTGATAAAAATCATCAAGGAGACAACAAATGCTTATAAGTAGTCATGAGGGAGAGCACCCTTATACAGCTAGTGAGAATGTTAAATTAGTTCAGCCTCTATGGAAATCAGTACGAATGTTCTTCAAAAAACTAGAAAGTAAGACAGGCCAGGTGGCACATACCTTTAATTCCAGCACTCAAGAGGCAGAGGCAGGTGGATCTCTGTGAGTTCCAGGCCAACCAAGGAGACAGTCTCAAAACAAAAAACAAACAACAACAACAAAAAAAAAAT